TGGCCAACTGAGGTAACTTAAGAGACACAAGCCATCCTCTTTTCTCCCTTTAGTTACATCTTTGGATGATATTGGTATCTTGTTATATAATACTTATGTATTATATATACATATTCCTAAATCTTTAATAAGTAAACAGCCATTTTCTCTAATTAGTATCAATTTTAATTAACTTAATTCAATTAAGCTAAGTAAGTTAGGGACAGTAAAAAACCCTTGTTGCTATTATTTGCAGGCCTATCGAGTTAAAATTTTTTTAGTTTTATCAACGCAATTATATCTTATTATTGTCCTGTGAAACTAAAAATCCTAAAAAGTTTTTTTATTATAGTTAGAATATATTTCTATATTATCAACAATAATAGTCAGTTTCTAACTTACAAGGAGAAATCATGGTGATGGGATCGCCGATTTTCAAAAAAATTATATGAATCTAATCTAAATTGAATATAAAATTGTATTTACTTTGAATTTTTTTAAACAAGAAAAATAACCATTTGAATTACCTTAAATAGTCTTTTTTATTCTATTTCTTTCGAAGCAACCTGTGGGTCAATGGGTCACTTACGAGATTAAATCGCTAGAAGTACAGGGTTCAAATCCCGCCTAGCGATCTATTTTTTGCATTTTTTTAATATATTTATAAAACATTTTAAAAATATTGTCACAATATATTTTTTATAACATTTTAGAAATATACCTTTAAAATATTGTGAGAATGTAATATTCGCTGCCAAAGTATATTCTGAGAACATTGTGAGAATATTTCAATATATTCTGGTTATATTCTAGAAATATTTTAATATCAAAAATAAATATTCTAGGAATATTCTAGAAATATTTCATTGCTATGTGGGTAGNATATATTCTGGTTATATTCTAGAAATATTTTAATATCAAAAATAAATATTCTAGGAATATTCTAGAAATATTTCATTGCTATGTGGGATTTTGAGTTAAGATAGAGTTTAAAGTAGAAAAAACTAGAAGGAGGGACTATAGTTCCTCAAAAATGAGGGCGTTCCCGAGCAACAAACACCCAATTGCAAAATAGTGTTTTTAATTTTAAATATTATACTATAACAGAAATAAGTTGAAAACAAATATTAAAAGTAGCCAATTTAAGAAGGTATCTACACACAAAAATATGAATTGACAAATATAGAAATATAATTTATAAAATATTCAAATAACTAAATTTTGTCAAAAACCGCGGTAGGTTCTATTAATATAACAAATGTTTATATCACCATAAATTTTTTTTTCATTCACTTTGTAACCCTTAATATAATAAGTCTTTAGTTCCATATGTAGTCATGCATTAATTACATAGTTTCTTAGTTTAAATTAAATAATTAATTAATTAAACTTTTAAATAATTAAAAAATAAACAAATAGCCATAATTATATCATGGTCGGTCGTGCTTCAAGTACTTATATTACTACGGTCGTATCATAAAATTTTTTTCATTTCATAATTTAATATCTACTATAATTATTTTTAGTTTCGATGTGAACTGAGATGGTATTAATTTTACTATGATTTGGTTTTTTTCGTGTTTCTGTTGCCAATTTTTGTCAGCTCTCACAGAACTGATTTCTTTCAATGATACGTCAAAAGATTTTTTAAGATAACTTAAGTTCTTCTACCATTATTTTTTTAAAATAATTTTGAAATTTTGATCATTCAAATAAATTTCATGTATTAACGTTTTTCACTCTTCAGTGCTAAAAATTAAAGCGTCCCTTTAGCATTTTTGGATTCGACTTAAAAGGAAAATTAATGTTTTTCCAATAAATGGTTGATATTGGAGAAAACAGAACCTTAAGTTTTTATTCGAATGTAAAATATGCAATTCATGTAATAAATACATAATATACAAAAATATCGTGTTTTAGTTTTGTTTAAAATATCGTAAGTTACCAACCAATAAATTAATGAATACAAATCAGACAGATTTTGATCTCAAGTAACTATGTTTAAATATTATTGAACTAGTTACATATTCATAAAGAATATTTTTAGAATAGTTAAAACAAAAAAATACTTTGGTAGAACAACTATTAAAATTGAGGACTATTTGTTTTCAAAGGACCTCGTAGAATTCCAAAAAATTATAAAATAGATAGGACATTAACAAGTGTAATTATTTCAAAGAATAATTTTATGTTATAAAGTAACCCAATTTTATGTAACAGATACAATGTCAAATGTTGTGGTAAATAGTTATATATTTCAAGTGCTCATTATAATATCCCATCTTAATAAAACTATTTTTATATAACCATAAATGTAATGTTTGATATTTTTTAGAGAGTTATTTAAATTTCTAGGATTTCATGGAAGCTAAAACTTTATATTTGGGCCTATGGAAAAAAATGGTAGTTTCCCTATTGCATCCCGTTTTTTAATTTTATCTTTTTCAAAACGTGATTGTGTCNTAACACGCTTATATTAGTTTCACGTGTATGTTTGTATGTTGTTTGTATGTTGTAAGTTTGTAACTCCACGCGGCACGTGTTATTATGTCGCGTATGCCGTCGTCTATGACCTTGAGACTAGACCGTCGTAACGCATTCACCCCACCCCGCTCACCAGTCGGCGACTACACTATTTTTTTCTGTATAATTTTGAGTAAACGCCGCGGTGCAAAGTCCAGCAAGTGCCGCACGGCCGACGACGTACCGCCGCTAATGATACCGTAGTATTCTTCCTTTTGTCAAAATGGCAACATCAATAAACCGATCTCCACTCGCGCGCCGTCGCCATCAACGCTGCTAACCTTTTGACGCCCGAGGATCACGCCGGACATTGCGTCGTCGACGCCAACGAATGTGCCACGNTTCATATAGTTCATATCTAATATTGGTAGTGATTAATATTTAATATTGAAATACTATTATTTTAAAATAAATTACTACATATTTTGAATAAAGAAGTCAATGAATTAATATATAGAATAACAGTTTATTTAACGTATTATAAATATGTAAAAATAATTTTTTATAATCCTTTTAGTATGTAAGAACATTTTTAGTTAGTGTATTTCAGAATCGTATTTATATTCCACCCTTCTTAANTTCAGAATCGTATTTATATTCCACCCTTCTTAAAATATAATAACTTACATAATTTATATGAAATATGAAAGGAGTAAGGAAAAATTTTTTATGCACACCTTCCGATTATAAAATTCTACGCTACTTGTATTTTTTTAAAAATACATATGAAATCATATGAAAATCTGTCTTAGAGTATATCAACCTTCTTTCCGTACATTAATGTAAAAAAAAAAAATGTAAACACTTTTTTAAATTTACTTAATAAATTCAATACAAAAGAGAAAATGTTTCATAAAGAAAACATCGCGATTCGAAAATATCGATATTTGTTAACTTGACAATCGATTGATCTTCAAATGGGGCTTTTTTGGCTTTTGTTCCGTCTGTCACCTTTCATTAATCAACTTGCTTCGTTCGAGGTAACACTACACTGTAAGTACTATTATGTCTAATTTGTATATTCGCCTTTTGACAGCACTTCCCTTAACATTATTTATTAAAATAAATTATTATTTAATTCTTCATTAATTGTGATTAATATTTACATAAAATCTTATTTAATATTCTTTATAAAAGGTAAATTATTTGATCTTAGGGAAAAGGAACTTAAGCTTATTTTTTATTTCATTTTTTTTTAACGGAATATTGCAAATACTTTTCATAACATGTTTTAATTTTGGTAGAATATTTTGAGATCAATATATTTAAAAAAAATAACTAAAAATTGTTAATGATATTTGTCTATTTCAAATTTTTAAAGAATTCTCCTAGATGTTAATCAAATTGAGCTGAAGCTACTTTTCCTAGATCTAAAATTTAATTAACATTGCATAACATAATTTCTTTCTTATTTTATTATTATATTTATTAATTCAAATATTTACGTTTGTAATTTTTTTATTATCATAAATGATTTAATAGTCGTTCCGAAAAAAAGGAATTAAAATTCTTACCCTTTTTAGCAAACCCCTTTTGTTTGGTAATTTTTATGTTTATTATTTTAAAAATTCAAATAACTTAAAAATATTACCTAACAAGACTAATTATTTTTTTAGAATATGTCATTATTTTGAAATTTATAGAAATAAACTTACGTGGTTTTAGATATTGGACTATATTCCTCATAGGCACAATTGTGCATATGCTAAGAATCCTATGCAGATTTTATCATTCTTTTACAATTTTATAATGAAAAATAAAATATTTCTTTATATTATTGTAAGTAGTTCTATAAAGTCTGAGCTGGGACCCCCCCTAACCCACATTTTGTGGGTTTACCCTGTCCTAGGTGGACGGGCGGTGTAAACGGCTGTTGGTATATGGTGAAAGTCATAGTCCCCTCACCCACCCACATGATGTGGGTTTACCCTGTCCTAGGTGGACGGGCGGTGTAAACAACCGGGAGGGGGATATGGTGTACCGCATAGGGCCCCTTCCCATGAAAGAGAAAGAGTGAAGGGCTCTCTCATGACAGTAAATATCACACGTAATCTACATGAACACTTTTTAGAAATTACTTAATAAATTGTAATTAATAAGTAATTATAAGTTAAAAATGTTTAAGTGGTGAAGGAATGGGTTAGTTTACGGGGATATATGTTTTGTGATTCGCCGAGTTTATAATTGATTTTATTACATTTAATGAATATTGTCGCATAAAAGACGGATTATTACTAGAGTAAAATTAATAGTGCTGTGACAGTTAAACGTCTTAAAAATGTTTTCTTGTGACAAGTGTGAAAAAGTGCACCATCATAAGAGTCATGATGGTATACGATTTAAGTGTTATTTATGTCCATCTACTTTTTCGGACAAATGGACACTCTCGCGTCATGTTATAACAATTCACCGTGAGTATTACAATTGATTATTTAGTAAAATACTAATATGAAAAGAGAATATTTNGACAATTCATCGTGAGTATTACAATTCATTATTTAGTAAAATACTAATATGAAAAGAGAAAATATATTAGTAGAGTGTTAATATAAGTGTAATATTTTAAATCTCGTAAAGTATGGTATAGACTATAATATTGCTATTGGAAATCATGCTGATTCGAGGGCTATGTCAACGAGTGGTAAGTAAAGAAAATATATATTATTAGAAATTTATATGATAAAATAAATATATTGATTTTAGAAAATGTAAATGTTGCGGAGAGAATGCAGGCAGGCCCCAGTGTAATTAGTCCTAAACGTCGCAAACAATGTAACAGCGACAATACGATTAAATGCAAACGGGTAAAGGTGAAACGATTACAAGACATTACGACGAGCGGTTTTCATAAAACGGGTGAATCATTAAATAGTCAAATTTTATGGTTTTACAAAAAGAATATTGAAAATGTAGTCGGGTATCAATCGTTTTTGTCGGCAACAAGAGGCGATTTAGTCGAAAAATTACGCGACTGTCTTAAAGTAATGGGCTCGATAAAATTCAACTTAAAACTTGAGGCGACTTATGTGGTTCCGAATAATGAAACCAAGTACGAAAATCGGTCATTTAAAACGTCGGCAGCCGAGTTAATTAATGAGGACGATATCGATCATGCTGTGGATATTTCATTCACAAAATTATTAGAAGAACAGGAAAACTATGCTGGTAAAGGTAGTAATTTTTCGTTTTTTAATATAGACGGTATTTTACTGGGCGTTTACAAATATCAGCCTTTAGGCGGGAGTTCTTACATTGATTTGCCGCATGATATTAAAAACAGAAATGCTGTAATAAACCCGCAAAATATAGATCAACAATGTTTCAAATGGGCTATATTAGCGAAAAAAGTTACAGAGGGTAAAAGACGTATAGTAGAACAAAACTATAAGTCTATAGAAAACTGTTATAATTTCTCCGGTTTATCATTCCCAACACCGATTTCAGACATAAAAATTTTCGAAAAAAATAATCCGCATACTTCAGTCAATGTATACGGACTAAAATTGAAAGATATACATAATAAACCCGAATATTTAGTTTATCCGCTGAAAGTGTGCGCTGAAGAACGCAAAGACCATATAGATTTGTTAATTGTGTCAAACGCCGCGGGTGACAGCCATTACACTTATATTACCGATTTTGGTCGATTGGTACAATCACAAATAACAAAGAATACGGCAAAAAGGATATTTTGTAAACGGCGTTTTACGGGCTTTAATAATGTCCCTAAAAAGTATAAACTACGTGGAGTTGAGGCGCTAGAAGAACATAAAAAAATTTGTGGCGAAAACAAACCGTTTTTACCTATAATGCCTGAAGAGGACACTAAATTAAAGTTCGAGTCATGGGGCAAAACACAGGAACATCCATTTGCAATTTATGCTGATTTTGAAAGCCTGCTGGTCAAATCCAACAATCATACGAAAGGCAACACAAGTTATATACATGATCATGTTGCAATGAGCTATGGATACATAGTAAAAGCAGCCGACAGTGTACCCATAGAATTATTGCAACAGTATAATATTCAAACGACGCCCAAAATGTACAGAGGAAATAAAAGCAGTGGACCTGGGGAAGTAGCCAATCGTTTCATGGATGAAGTAACTGAAGTGGCGTTGAAAATTGAAGAGTTGCTCAAGACGAACGTTGATATTTGTATGACACATGAAGAAACTGAAGAACATATAAAGAAAACCTGCTGTGACTTGTGTAAGGGTGGTTTTACAGAGAAAAATCATAAAGTAGCAGACCATGATCATTTGACAGGTAAATCATACACATAACTGTGTTAAATGTATAATAATTAATATAAAAAGAAAATTTATGTATATATTTATATTCGTTTCAGGTAGTTTTAGAAAAACGCTATGTAACAGTTGCAATTTAAAATTAACAACGCCCAAGTTTGTTAACGTATATTTCCATAATCTTAGCTCGTACGACGGACACTTTTTAGTTAAAGCCCTTGGAAGAGATACTAGTAGAATAAGTGTAATATATTTCTTTTACAAAATTTGTTTCAAACAAATTTTCGTTGAGGTTCGTCGATACATTTCGTTTTATGGGTACTAGTTTAGCGGCTCTCGCTGAAAATTTGCGCGCCGCCGACATAAAATTATTCCAAGAAACCGCAAAAGCGTTTTCATCGGACGGTGACATTGATTTGGTGACCCGTAAAGGCGTGTACCCGTATTCATACACCTCAAGCTGGGATGTACTCGAAGAAAAACAATTGCCGTCAAAAGCCGATTTTTATAACGACCTGTCAGAAACGCATATTGATGATTCCGAATACAAACACGCACAAAACGTCTGGCAACATTTCAATTGTAAAACGCTCGGTGAGTACTCTGATCTGTACCTGAAAACTGACGTAACAATACTTGCGGATGTTTTTACGAATTTTCGCAAGTTATGTCTACTAAAATATAAATTGGAACCGGCATATTATTTTACGAGTCCCGGTCTGTCTTTTGACGCTATGTTGCTGCATACGGGCGTTTCACTAGATCTCATGAGTGATTATGAACAGCAACTTTTTATTGAGAGAGGAATACGGGGAGGAATGACAACTTCGGTGTTGAAACATGCCACAGCCAACAATGAAAAGACGCCTCATTATGATATCAAACAACAAAAATCTGAAATTATATATTTGGATGTCAATAATTTGTATGGTTGGAGTATGTCTCAACATATGCCATGTGGTGACTTTAAGTGGTTAGACGTGGACGACGAAACGAAAATTTTAAAGACTGTGGAAGAGTTACCTGCGGATTCTCCTATAGGAATGGCCCTTGAAGTGACGGTGTCGTACCCGAAAGAGTTACATGATGCCCACAACGAAATGCCGTTTCTACCTGAACGAAAATGTCCGCCTAATTCACGGGTCAAAAAACTGTTGTCTACTTTCGATCGGAAAGAAAACTACGTTATACACTATTTAAATTTAAAACAGGCTATGGCAAACGGATTAAAAGTAGAAAAGGTAATTCATAAAATTATATTTTAAAAATATAATAATAACATGTCATTAAATTACAGGTGCATAAGGTGTTACAATTTAAGCAGTCGGCCTGGCTATCAAAATATATACAACTCAACACGGAGATGAGACAGAAAGCCAAAAATGATTTTGAAAAAGACTTTTTTAAATTAATGAACAACGCTGTTTTTGGTAAGTTTTAAAATTAAATAAAAATATATATAAACATAATTTTAATGCGATTTCGTTTGTTAACAGGTAAAATGATGGAACGTGTACAATTTAGAACGCAAATGGAATTGGTCAATAATCCTAAACGAGCGGCTAAATTAATTAGAAAGCATAATTTCAAACATTGTACAACGTACAGTGAAAATTTATCAGCGTTTGTATTGGAAAAGAAAATTATCGATTTTTGTAAACCAGTATACGTAGGTTTCGCAATTTTAGAAATTAGTAAAACTCTGGTATACGATTTCCATTATAACGTAATGAAGAAATATTTCAAAGACCGTGCTCGACTGTTATACGGTGACACAGGTAGATTAATTAATATTTTTTATTGAAAAAATTTAATGATTTTATTTTTTGATTTTATTGTTTAGATTCATTAGTGTACTTTATCGTGGGTGATGACTTTTACGCGGTGGCAAAGAAAAATCCTGATCTATTGGCTAGACTTGACACTTCAGGTTTGCCGAGCAGTCACCCGTGTTATTCAAACGCAAACAAAAAGGTGCCTGGTTTATGGAGTGACGAAGCGCCGGGGAAATCTATATTGGAGTTTATTAGTCTAAGACCAAAATGTTATGGTTTTGACTTGGAGGGTAAAGAAAAAATTAAGGCGAAAGGGATACGTGGTCACGTTGTGAAAAATCATCTTACAGTCGAGGACCTGAAACGGTGTTTGTATGCTGAAGAGGAGCCTGCAGTAAGCGAAGCTCATGCAACAGCGGCTACTTATGGTACGATGGTTGTAAACAACATTCATGAGAGAGCCGTTGACCCTTATTGCCCCGTTGTAAAGTACCCGACTTATACACCATACAGAGAAAATGTGTCAATCAGATCATTTCAACACCAAATATACACCATTAAGACTATGAAAATGACATTAAACCGTTTAGATGATAAGCGGGTTATATCAGAAGACCGTATTACTACCTACGCTTACGGTCATTATAAACTAGAGTACGTATACCATAATTATGCTAATAATTATTAAATATATATTAAATAGTGTTATTTTTTAGGAATGAAGACACCATTGAAACTTATGATTTGTAGATACATCTTATAAACTAATGTAAAAATAATAAATAGATTACAAAAATTTATTAGTAAACAATATTATTATTATTATGTACAAAAATTTAATTGTTGAAATTATATTAAATAATAAAAATTAACCTTGGTTAAAATATAAATATTTATATTATTCATTTAATGAACATAGATAATCAAACAACATTATTACATAGTAATTATCGTCAATATTATCAATAGGTTTGACAAAACGTCGTATGATATTTTGCACGTCATTAAAATTTAACCAAATATTTAATCGTTTAAGGCAGTGTGCACATCTTTTAAAGTTACATAATTCAATCAAAGTGGTTTCATGTCTGAATATTTCTCTATGCGATGTGACGATTTCAATAGGACGGTCCATTAACTCCATCATTTCAGCACATTGACTAGTTGTGTTGCAAACAAAAATGTGAGTAGACACCGCTCTTCCGTCCATTACCATTCGGATGTTGACCTTTTTATAGTTGGCCCATACAAAATTTCTACTCCACCTATTCATTGAGAGTTTAACCTCATCATAGGTGTAGCAAAAAAAATTTGCACGGACCAAATCTCCCAAACGGTTGGGTTCTTCAAGCCGACCCAACAAATTTGATATTGACCTAAACAAATGACGTCTATAATACAACACGGGTACGCTACTCGCTAGTTCACGATTCAACGTTATATTATAGACGTCATTGTACAGTCGTCTAACAAATCTGTCAGAATCGTTCTGAAGCAATTCTGTTAATTCCAACTCCCATGATTGTAGCGAAAAAGCGTCTCTACATGGAGTCATTGTTGACCAACTGCATGGCAAAAGTTTGAGGTCACGATCAGAATAGATCCGTTCAGGATCTGATGATAAATCATCATCTAAAAATAAAAACAGCATTGTTAAGAAGTTTGTTTACAAAGTTAAATATTGACATACATACCATCAGAATCCTCAATACTATCTTCAATTTCTTCTTCTTCTTCTTCTTCCTCATACTCATCTTCTGCCTGCAAATATTCTTCATCCAATGGGTCATAGTAATACCCGTCATCATGGACTCGCGGTTGTATCTGACCAAATTGTTCGACGAATAGCTCCTGTTCGTCTGCTTCAGCAAAATTTTCAGCTTCAGCAACAACACACTTACAAACAAAAATTGACTTGATTTGCATGTTTGAGATGTTTCAACGTACAAGCGCAATTAATACAATTGAAAATATTAAATTTTTAGAGCGTAGTATAGGGTATTTATATGAAAAACTAACGTTAATGACTCGTCATTACTATACCTGTGTATAGTCTTATACCCTTATGCGCATAATGGTACTATTAGTCTTTACTCTATCCTTTTTTTTTTTTTTTTTTTCAACACAATAATACTGCTCAAATTAATTATACAAGAATTTTTAGGTAAATAAACAATAAACATGTTATATGTTGCTTATAAGTTTTATTTTAAAAATATTATACATTATTTAATTATAGTGAAATATAACGATATTTTAAGTACTAAGAATTATTAATATACCAATGTCTTAACATAAACATTTTATAAAAACTACATTAAGTTGAATTTAAATTCATATGAAATAAACATGATGGATAAGAACTATTTGTTGCCAGTTGTGTTATACGAGGACAGCCAATATCTTCCATGTTAATGACATTTACGTGTGGCATATACTGTTGTAATATGTCTCTTTTTTGTAACCCTTTTACAAATATGTCTGTAAATTTTAACGAGTTTAAAATTCTCGGTAGTTCTTCAATTTCTACGTCTCCGTACTGAGGTTGCATTGAATGTCTGTGCTTTTTCAACCACGCGTTAACATTTCGACTTTTTTCATCTGTTGGAGTTGCATGTTTAAATATCCAGTGTTGTGTAGCATAAGTGTCAGTATCCACTACAGATAGTTCTTTTATAAGATACTCGTTATTCGATCCCAATATACACTCAAAATCTGCTATTGCTGTGGTCATTATTTAGTTTGTTAACTAGTACGTTGAGGATACGGATCTTGTTCTAGGGCGTTTTATTTTTTGAATTAACGTACACTGGAGTCAGTATAGGCTTCGTATTTTACAAAACCTTTAATTTTATTAATCTGTTCTTCTAGCTGACTATATCGTAATTTAGAAGTTGAATCTATTGCGTTAAAATTAGTATTTAAATTTTCAATTTTAACTTCTACCCCGTGTATTTGTTCAATTATTTTCCGATAATTACTAAGTGTTTCAGTAATTTTTATAATATCTGTTTCTAATTCAGCTAATTTAGACTCTAGTATGTATATTTTTTTTATTCTTTTACTTTCTAATGATGAACCAAAAACATCCATTACTGTTAACGTTTACGAGTGAACTAAAAATATTTTATTAGTTTTGCAGATTTTATTCTGATCCAATGATTTTTTATATTTTAAAAAGTAATAACACACAGTTTAATTAAAGATAGGTAGAGGGGATATGTCACCTTAAGGTTAAATGAATATACATATTTAAATATATATTAATACTTTATTATATGGAGTAAAAAATACAATAAATAGTGCATATTATACATTTTTTACATTAATATCTTACAATAATATTAAAATTTTTTATTTTTCAAGTTCATTTTTATTCATCCACGAATCATGTTTTGAAGGAAAACCCATTCAACGAACCAATACTTTATCTCCTTTTCGCCGTACAATTTTTTCAATCAGATAATTATGCGGATACTTGGTTTTTTGTAATTCTTGTTCATAAAAACACCCTCTAATCATATTTTTTTCAAAGTCTTCGAGAAGATATGTTACTGGTATAGTGTTGCATACCTTTGCTATAGTAAATATTTCAAAAGACCAATTACTCAAATAGCCTTTTTCAAATACTGCCTTGTTAGAACTGACCCTTACATAATCACCTCTACGAAATTTAATTTTTTGTTTCGTTTTATGTACAGTACTGTGTATAACCACTGCCGAAGGATTGTTATCGGCATACGTAGGAGTCATTTTTATTGTTCTATGCACGCTGTTGTTGTACTCGTGCATAACTTTGTTTAATATAGATATCCAATTGTGTGATCCTTGAGCGGTAAACTCTCTATATAATTTGGTCTTGATGGTTCGAATTAATCGCTCACAAATTGACGCTTTTAATGTGCTATACGTCGAGTAATGATTTATGTTGTATTTTTTCATAAGAGTTGAAAATTTTGAGTTATAGAATTCTTTACCCAAATCGCTCTGTACGTGAACGATATTACGTTTTGCAAGTATAGGTTCTATTGCTTTCACTATATCAGCTCCTCTTTTTGATTTTAGAGGTACTGCCCATGAATATTTTGTAAAACAATCAATTATGAACAAAATATATTTATAGCCTTTATTCTGTCTATGATATGGTATAAATTCAGCTAAATCGATCTGAAATAAATCGTCACGGCTTTTAAGTACAACACTACGTCTATCGTAATGTATTCGTCTAGGTCTATGTAGTTCTTCCGCAATTTGTCTTTTAAACATTTGGTATTTTTTTAATTATGCCCGCCTCGTATAATTCTTCATAAATTGATATAATTTCATTACCATGTGCATTATTGCCTGCTGCCTGCGAAGCCAATAGTAATCTAAGACGGTCGCAGAGCTCGTCTGCGTTATTCCAATATTTATAGTTATTCGATGTATTCAATGACAACTCAAGACCTCTGCCCTCGACAAACAATTTACTTATAACTTCTTTATACTTGTAGCCATTTGTTTTCTTAATTTTTAATTTATTCGTTGTTAAGTGCGCAGAAGTATGAACTAGAATGTCTCTATAGACATCCAAGTCATTTTTACCGTATGCGTTAGGCCGTTTTGAAAATATTAACTGTATTAGACCGGGGGTTAATTGATATTTATTATTTTCTATGATCAGCTGAGCTGTTTTATAATTAAACTGAACAATTTTATCACCAAATTTCATTATATCCCCGTGTTTTTTCGGTGCATACGCTTTGTCCCCGTCATGATAAACTAGCCATGCCTCAACCGAGTCCATCATAGAAAATATTTGGTTTTCAGAATATCCACTAGAATTAGTGTCTTCAACATTATAGCTTTGATTATGCAGCTCAGTTACTATAGAATTATTTTCATCGTTTTTATAATTGTTACCATCATGGTTTTGTTCATATTTTAAATACTCGTTATTATTATCAAATTTATTAGTAAAATTTGAAATATGCGATGTTTTCTCTTTTTGAAGTGTTGTTAACTCGTTTAAAGGTTCAATAATGGGTTTTAATGTACGTTTCATGTAAACTTCATTAGTAACATCATCGTTTTGCAATGATTGGAATTTTCGTTTAATATTTTGCTTGGCCTCGGCTAATTGTCTCAATATTTCGTTATTAGATTCTCCGGCCATTGTTAATCGATTACTGACAAAAATCCCGTTATTACATGACATTATATTATTGCGAAAGTATCGAAACATTTACGATACCTGCCTTCATTTCGAGGATGATCTTTACTAATTACTACAAAACTAAATTTACTATCGTTCCAACATGAATGACAAAATTCACGAAACTGGTTAAGTGTCATGTCCCCTGAACAATTATTAAAATATATATGCCGTATATTGGTTTCGTCTTGTTTGAATAGAATAAGCATATTAGCGTTATCCCGTATCAATTGTTTACCTACATAACTAAACGATTGTGTTAAATAAAATATGTCAATGTTATTATGTCTGCCTCGAGTAAAATAGGTTCTTATAATTTCTTGAGATTCGGTTATTACGTCGTCGAATATAAAAACTGAATTTGGCAATGCGTCCTCAGGGCTAATTACAGTGTCGTTTTCATGAAACATGAATATTTGCATTCCTGGTATACTTTCTATATTATCCTTAAGCATTTGATATTTTGGCTGGTCTAGAGTTTTTGAATATATGTAAATATTTTTGAATTTTACACAGTTTTCAGCGACTAGTAAAGAAAATAAAACATTAGTTTTACCACAGCCCGACGGTCCCGCAATAATCGCTCTAATAGAGTTTGGAAATAAAGTGCCGTGTCGGGGAGGTTTATTGTCATTATTTTCAGTATCTGCGTTTATCACGGGGAGTTTAACACTTTGCTGTATAAACTTCATGTTTTCCACTATAAATAGTTTATCAGGACAGTAAACTGATCAAATGATGTCACGTCACGGTCGCAACAAGTCTAAAAGTGGTGTCGGTCTATTCAATACGCTCTTAAATAAATTACCTATAGAATTACACCTTAAAGGTTATAATTACTGTGGTCCCGGCACCCGGTTAAAAGAACGTTTAGCAAGGGGCGACGTGGGGGTAAACAAACTCGACGAACTCTGCAAATATCACGACATTTTTTACGATAAACATCATTCGACTGCAGAAAGACATAAAGCAGACGAAGTATTAGAACACGGCGCTTGGGACATTGTTAAATCAAAGGACTCTGGATTTAAAGAACGGGCTGCAGCATACCTAGTTACCAACGCCATGAAAGCAAAACGTAAAATCGGAATGGGTTGTGGTTTTAAAACTATAGTTTCTGAAGCGAAAAAGGCTATTAAGAAACATAAAAAGACAGCCGGCAAAGATATTACAAAATTAATAAAAATTGCGTTGACCGCTGCACGCAAAAAAACTCGTCGTGGTAGCATTTCCCCCACACCACGTGTAATACCAGTGCCGAAATCCGGTGGAGCGCTTCCTCTTATTCCTATTTTTGCCGCTTTATCAGCGTTAGGATCTCTAACTGGCGGGGCGGGTAGTATTATACGTTCAATCATGGACGCGAGAGAAGCAAGCGATAAAAAATCTACAGTAAAACTCGGCAAAGGTTTATACCTTAAACCTTATAAGAACGGTGCCGGTTTATTTTTATCACCGCCCAAGACAAAAAACTAATATCGAATCTGCCAAAGACTGCTCTATATGACTATCAAATTATAAAATATGCAAATTTATTGAAAATACCTCATTTTAGAGGGGTCTTTAGCAGAGACACATTGCCGGTACGTCCTTTAAAAAACGAGAGTGCAGTTATTAATTTAAGCAAACAAAACGAGCCAGGTACTCATTGGACGTGCTATAGAAAAAATAACAATACAGTACATTATTTCGATAGTTACGGTGATTTGGCTCCACCGCTAGAGTTGCAGAAATATTTTAACGGGTGTACCGTAAATTACAACTATTTACGGTACCAGGCTGATAGATCGGTAAACTGCGGTCATTTATGCCTAAAATTTCTAAGTCGAAAATTATGAAATCGGCTACAATAATGTTGAGCGGTAATTCGTCACAATTGAGTTGTAGTTTTTACCCACCTTTGGAATTTGAAGAGGGTGCCGAAATTTGTCTTTTAAGTTTGTATACTAATAACTCAATACCTAATATTACAACTGACTGTAATAAAATCGGAGTTCAAGACTCTGAGGGTGTAACAACACAAATTACAATACCGACGGGATCATACGAATTGGCGCAGTTAGAAGCCGTAATAAAAAAACTGTTGGAACCATACGTTCAATCGTTTTCTTTAGAACCTGACGAAGTTACATTGAAAAGTGCTCAGACGTGTAGTAACGCCATTGATTTTACGGTAACCGACAATATCGCGCGGTTATTAGGTTTTAATGAACAAGTTTATGCACCGAATATACGTCATGTTTCAACAAACATTGTTGATATTTTACAAGTTAATACTATATATGTCGAGTGTAATATAGCGACCGGTTCATATGATAATGGACAATCAAGCAAAGCGATCCATGCATTTTTTCCTTCTGTCCCAGCAGGATACAAAATTATAGAAGTACCTAAATCGTTAGTTTATTATCCGCTAAACACAACCACCGTATACAACGCTGAAGTTACATTACGGTCTCAATCTGGTAAAATAGTTGATTTGAGAGGGGAAACTTTAACTCTCCGCCTTCACATTCGTACATAGAACCATGGCTCTTAAGTTTAATAATAATATATATTCAAGTGTTCGTCGGCCAATACGTAGTTCACAGTCATCCAGAACAGAGACAACATCATATTTACCTAAAAAGAAATCCGCGAGAAAATCGCCGCTAAAAGAAAAAACGAATAAGTCTATTAGCAAACGTAATTTATCGTTTTTAAAATCGTTAAACGTTCTTTGAAATTATGGACGATTTATGTTTAGATGTGACGGAAAGTTATGTCGATCAGTGTAAAATAATTAGTCAACAGGTACAATCATTTTTGCCGTATAGCTCCACTGCGCTAGGTAAAAATGATGAAATACGATTTGAAATTCGCAACATGGACAGTTACACTTTACCAAGTGCCAGTTATTTGTACTTGGAAGGTGAAGTGAAAAAACCTGATGGTATGAAGTCCAGTCCTAGATTTATTAACAACGGACTCGCATATTTATTTTCTGAAATACGTTATGAAATAAACGGTACTCAAATACAAAAAGTACGCAACCCGGGCATTACATCTACTTTGAAAGGCTATTGCTCATACAGCCCCGCTGATATTAACGAACTACACACTGCGGCATGGGACATTACTACTGAAGACAATAAAGACTTTTTCGACTGTACATATTTTTCTGGGATTATACCGCTATCGCATATACTAGGGTTTGCCGAAGATTATAAAAAAATACTCTTAAACTGTACCCAATCATTAATATGTACGAGGAGTTCATCAGACATAAACGTAATCAAATTATTCAATGTGAACGAGTCCTCTGAAAAACTTAAATGCAGCACGGGAACTTCTGATGATAATGAGGTTGTCAAGCTATTAGATACGAGTACCACAGTAAAAGAAAAACTGTCTACAGTATCAATTAAACTAACAAAAGTTGTATGGAATATGCCAATCGTCAAAGTGACCGAAAAGGAACAATTAAAATTACTTAGAGTTTTAGATAGTAAAAAGCCTATACATTGCGCCCATAGAAATTGGGAACTGTGTGAATATCCGTTTGTACCACAAAACAAATCGTTTTCGTGGACCGTTAAAACATGTAATAATTTTCAAAAGCCCCGTTATGTTATAGTAGGGTTTCAAACAGACCGTAAAAATAGTGAAAGTAAATCAATGTCTGAATTCGATCACTGTAATTTAACAAATCTTAAAGTTCATTTAAATTCAGAAGTTTACCCGTACATCGATTTAAGATGTAATTTTGACTGTAAGCTATTTAGTATTTTATTTTCCTACTATGTTAATTTTCAAAAGAGTTATTATGATAGACCTTGGTGTTCGCCTTTAGTAAATAAAAAACAATTTCTTAATTTAATACCTATTGCTGTAATCGACATGTCAAAGCAGAACGATACAATTACAGTCTCGTCTTTTGACCTACGTATTGAAATTGAAGCATCAGCCGCGTTCCCTGGTAATACAACTGCATATGCTCTAGTAATTTCAGACAATGTATTTACATATACACCTTTTGACGGAACTGTCCGTATATTTTAACATTTTTTACACGTTTATGTAAACATTTATTATTAACCTTGTAATTATTATTATTATTATGAAATAAAATTTATTTAATATATTATATACAAATAACAACAATTTGTTTTTCATTTTAGATTATAAGTTTATTATAAGAAACTAGTATAATATATAAAGTTATTGTTTATAAATTATTAATATAAGTTAATTTTTCTGACGTGATTGGGTTTCGGCCATTGTGAAGCCCATGGACTATAACTATTTTCTTGGGTAAACACTGCTGTATCGAAAAATGCCGGACCGTCATTTTCGTCATACATTTCTTCTTTTTCCTAAAACAAATTATAAATTTAANCTTCTTCTTTTTCCTAAAACATAATTATATATTTAATAACAATAAAGGTTATTACAATCTATGTTCATTAAACTCACATTAATTTGAAGCGTGCCCTCGGACCATGACTTGACCCATCGATCAACTATTACATTGTATGCTAAATTTTTCAGCTCGCTTATGTAATTACTGTCACCTATTTCTATGTCGTTCAAACTTCTTATAAAATTAACCATTTCATCATTTGGTGATTGTAGAGTTCTAAGTCCTGGCCATTTACCATCGGCGTATTGTATAATGCGGTCTATTTGACGGCTTAATAGTAAACGTGTTTTTAATTTTCTTGTTATACCATTATTAATAGTACACTCCATTTGTTTAAGTATCTGAATGTTTTCTTTATTTAATAAAACACGGCATCCTTCGGTCGTCGCGGATTCTAATACTAAATGTACTGAATCACGATATAATGTTTTAGATAATTTGAAACATTCATTTCGGCATAAAATATTGTTTTCGTTTCTAACCGGAGATGATTGTAAAAATATATTTATTTCATTCATCATGCCGTAAATAGTATTCAAAAATTCTGTTGACATGCTAATATATCGTGAAGGAGTAATAATATATACCGTAATATTGAAGTCCTCCTTTGGATTCAGTCCTAGTTGTAAAAATTTTCTATCGCCGAACGAAATTGTATAACTGCTTGAATCGATCATTTCAGCTGGCGGTGTCGGTGCAACATAAACATAACGTTGTTTTCTTACAGGTTCGGCATCCATATTGTTCATAGAGTAGAGTCTTCTTTTTAGAGCTGATGGTTCTTGATGACACTGTGACTTTATCAACGATTTCATGCTCATTTATGCGGAAAAAACACATATTTTCATAGGGGGGTCAGCAAATCACAGATCACATATCCCCGTAAACTAACCCATTCCTTCACCACTTAAACATTTTTAACTTATAATTACTTATTAATTACAATTTATTAAGTAATTTCTAAAAATTATTCATTTTTTCATTGCCCCTCTTCTTATGTACCCCCCATACTTGTGATATCTACTGTCATGAGAGAGTCCTCTACTCTTAACCTTTCATAGGAAGGGGGCCCTATGCCGTTCATCATATCCCCCCGGCCGTTTACACCGCCCGTCCACCTAGGACAGGGTAAACCCACATCATGTGAGTGGGTGAGGGGACTATGCCTTTCACCATATCCCCCTCCCGGTTGTTTACACCGCCCGTCCACCTAGGACAGGGTAAACCCACATCATGTGGGTGGGTGAGGGGACTATGACTTTCACCATATACCAACAGCCGTTTACACCGCCCGTCCACCTAGGACAGGGTAAACCCACAAATGTGGGTTAGGGGGGGTCCCAGCTCAGACTTTATAGAACTACTATTGTATAAATAATTAATATTTTAAAAATTGTGAGTATGCAATGTCATCGGTGTAGTATATACATGTCACTTTAAATTTGGTAAAATATTTTGGTTTCAACAATTATAGTTAAAATACCATAGTGGTAAGAAAAAAATGTACGTATTTATACTCAATTACTTGCAGAATAATAATAATTTAAACATTTTTTTTTTTATTATCTTTAGTTACACATTATTCTTGAATTTTTAACTATGTAATACTTTTTAAGTTCATCCCTTATGCCTTGGAGGGGGGTCAACTTTGTTTTTTTAAATGGTAACACATATTTTTAATTTAATAAAATGTTTGAGTTTTTAATTTAATAGTAAATGGAATTTGAATTTTTAATATAACTTAATTCGTTTATTAGATATAATCATTTAAAGTTTCTAATTTTTGAGTTAATATAAAGGTATAATACACAAGGGATTACAAATACAGGTAGCTAGTTGATTTTTTATGACATCGATATTAGTAGGTACACGCATTNATCGATATTAGCAGGTACACAGCATTGTTATTATCAATGATAGTAAGGTACATAGTTGTGAGTTTATAAATACACTAACTGACAATATAAAAAGTATATCTATTGATAGTTATAATTGATAATAATAATCCGTGACTGTGACAGCAATGTCATAAAAAACCAATTAGCTACCTATATTTGTAATACTTGTGTATTATACCTGTATATTAAATCAATAATTTGAAACTTTAAATGATTATATCTAATAAACGAATTAAGTTATATTAAAAATTCAAATGCCATTTACTATTAAATTAAAAACTCAAACATTTTATTAAATTAAAAATATGTGTTACCATTTAAAAAAACAAAGTTGACCCCCTTACAAGGCATAAGGGATGAACTTAAAAAGTATTACATAGTTAAAAATTCAAGAATAATGTGTAACTAAAGATAATAAAAAAAAAAATGTTTAAATTATTATTATTCTTCAAGTAATTGAGTGGGTTATGATAAAAAAATCACACTGTATAATTGTTATACATAATTGTACATTTATAAATAGATAAAAAGAAGGTTGAGTATACCATTTCACACAGAGCGAGAAAAAATATTTTTTACCTTTGGAACTTTCGCACCCGTAGTTTAAAACACTATTTGCTTCTATGATATTCCAATAGGATATAATAATCATCTCCTTGGCTTCTTTTCCAACTTTTTGGGGTTAGCTCTATCTTACGATTTGACATAATTTTTACATCGGATGTCGACCTGATACAATCTCATCATGGAACAAAGTGTTTGTCATTGTTCTTGTAAGGTCACCCATCTGGGAACCAATAGCAAATAGCGTAACTGAATATCAGTGCTGAGGCGGTGTCCGAATAATCCTTTGCACTACATCTCACCCTTTCTTTTAAGAATGTAAATAAATAATGAATTTTATAAAATTCATATTATCTATAAATATTAGGACGTTTTTAATGAATGTGATTTGATTATGCCCATGTAAATGGTTAGTTACCTTTGAAATTAGAATAAATTTTTATATTTTACTTTCAATTATACTAATTATTAAAAAAAAAAATTATATGTTTAATAAAAATATCTGATGTCTTTCAACGATTCTATTTTGTCGCCTAATTAATTTTATTTTTGACCTTTTCTATACTAAGGGGGAATCACACATGAATAAAAAGAATACTGAATGAAAAAGATATTTTAGTCGCCAAGTGAGACTATTTTAAAAATACTGTTGCAGCTGCAACATAATAGTGTGTTGTTAACTTAAAAGTGTGTACTCGGACCGGTTTAATCATTATCACGCGACTACTCCCTACTACTCAAGTAGTAGTGGACATCGCTACTACCGGCCGATCAGCTGTTCACACACTACACACCAAACACAACAAATAACCGCAATAAAGTATAGTACAACATTGTATTACGTAATAATCAGTATATATACATTTTTGGTTTTTTATTGTTGAATTTCTCATTTCTTTTTTTTGTGTGAAAACGTAATCTAATTTTTGTAAAAAGAAGAAGTTATTTTAATATCATAGAATTGATAATATACAGTTTAAATAAAAAATATTGTTGCACTAACTGTGACTTCTTTAAGCTACTAATTGGCTGACAGAAGAACTTATTGTAGTTTGTTGCTACTAATTAGCAAAATTAAACTAGTCAATTGTGATATTTAAATTTGAGTTACCAAATTGTAGTCTTAAGTTCATTTGTTATTATTGTGATTCGTGTTTTAGTTTTAGGTAGCATCTCTGGCCAGCAGCTCTGCGAATTGTGAGTACCATTGTTATTTATGTATTATTCATTTTTCTTTTTCTTTTTCTCAATTTAGCGTAGTTATTATTGAATTAAATTTTGTTTATTATAATTATTGAACTGATTTAGTGCTGTCATTGAAGTTGTAGAGTTATTTTTTGTCATTATTCTGTTATATTTTTAGAGTTCATATTTTCATTATTATTTGTTGAGCCAGAAGGGCTATATTCATCTAGTCAACTCATTTATTAAATTATTA